CGCCAGCGATAATAATATTGCTGCCACCACCACCACCACCAACAGTAATGATAATGCCAATACAATAAATTATGATCAATTGATTCCTTTATCGAATTTATCAATAAGCCAGGATCCAATTAACGCCAACAACGAAAATAATCTACTACATCCACAAAATCCAACAAAAATAAATATATATGTACAGTAAAAATATTCTTAAAAATATCCAAATAAAGCTTAATTAAATGGTCATTAATAATTAAAAATGTAATCTAAATTATAATCGAGATCATTGTTGTGGTTGTTGTTGTTGCTATTATTAATATTCACCAAAGAAATATCATTTGCACTAACAGAAGGAGGCAGATTAAAACTTTCTTTCCTGAAATCTTCTTTTTGGTAATCTTCTTCACCGCATAAAGTTGATGATAGAGATAAAGTAGATGACGAAGGTGTAGAGGAATAATAATAACTCGTTGGTGAGGAAGGTGGTGGTGAAGTAGAAGAAGAATATAATGATAAAGGTGAAATTTCATCTTCTTTCATTTTATTATTATTATTATTATTATTATTATTATTTAAAAAAGAATTTATTATTCCATTCAATGATGATATTAAAGATGAACTATTGGGTGATGATTGTAATTGCTTGTCGTCGTTGTTGTTGTTATTGAATTGTGCTAAATTGTGAGAATTTAAACTAAATATTTCTATGACATCTCTGAGTGTCATGTCAAGAAGACTTTCAATTGGTGGTGTATGTGTTGAAGGTGTAGTTGAATTTAAATTTGTTGGATTATAAGTGTCCATTGAATTTGTTGTGCTATAATAAAAATAAAATTATCAATTAATCTCTGATTGATAATAATGATGATGATAATAATAATATGATAATAATGATGGTAACAACAACAACAATAATAAATGGATGAATGAATGAATATTTACTTTGGTATAACGGTAACTGTTACATCCGGCCCTGTTGATTTTTTTGTAGCTGTATCCGTGATTGTTTTTGTTATTACAACTTCTGATGAAATTTCCAATGTGAAAAGGCTTAGAATTACTATTAATACCATTG